AAGTTTTGTTCTGTTAATGTGTCTACACCGTGAACAAAAGAACTGATTAGAACTCAAAATGGGGAGAAACTAGTAAAAACAGTCACTCGCTGTGATTTCTTCATGTACCACCGGTGATCTTAAGATTTTTTAAACCTGGCTAAACTACCACAATGGACCTAAATGACCCCGAAAAATCTGTACCTTGCTTTGCTGTTATCGATATTGTAAGGACGTGTGTACCCCGGCAAGCAAGTCTGTATAAAGACAGCAAAGCAATCTGAAGTTGTCTAAACATAATTAGAAGCATGCAGAGAAAGATGGAGGAAAAACAAAAACAATGTGAGGCCTTCGCGAGCTATATCTGGCCATCTAGTATGCCCAGTTGGTGTAAAAAGTCATCCTGCATAACTGTACAACGCACAAAGTCTGAAAATGGTATGGGTTTAACGCCTCTATCAACACTATTGAGATATTTAAAAGGCGGGGCCTCCGAGTTTAACGTCCATCACCGAAAGGACCAAGCCAAATGGAAATTTCGTGTAAAGTGCCTTTACCAAGGACACAACGTCGGACAGAGCTGAGGCTTGAACCCCCGAACCCGCAACCTCACGATTACTAGTCCGGTAGCCTAACCACTAGGACACCGACGCCATTTATAAATTGGAGGAGCGACATTTGATTTTGCCGATTTTGGGTTGTTCTATGCACATTAAGAAGTTGGCTGATTTTTTAAGATCAACCAGTTCTTTGTCTAAAAATAACATGGAAACAATTGAGAAAGTCTTTGTTCTCCGCGTAAATTGCTTTTGAAAACATGAGGGTGGGTTAATATAGTGAATTTTCACAATAATTGTCGTTTTTCACAAAATACCATCCTTTTTTGTAGTTTTTTACTTACTCTTTCCTTAGTTTTCATCCTTTTGACATGTAACTTTCAGGAAACATAGATTGTAGGGCTACCATCAATGTAACAGAGAGACATTTGCGAAAAAAATATTATTTTTCCATTGGCAAGCAATTACACAACCTAAATTAAGAAAAGGTTTTTTATACTGTGGGAAAATTCATCTTATTTTTTTCTTTTGCACTTATTGAAAAAAAACTCGCTGTTACGCTGATATGGTCTGGTTCAGGTATACTCTCCCCATATTTGGTCAAATTTGGTGAGTAAATAAGAAAACCTTAGGGATTTGAGTTTATTGTTTATTTTCAAGATGGCGGCAGTTTCCATAACAACCGCTGTAGCTTTGCCAAAATAAAATTGCGCATCAAGAGGTTTCCGTATGCCTAACTTAAATGTGTACTTAGATTTGATCTCGGGTAACAAAAATAGAAAATGGTCCTCAGGGTCGCTCCTCCCTTAGTCTGAATATATCGAATATATCAAATTTTGGACACAGGTAAAGAAAATGTTCATGGCAAGTTCCCTACCAACCGAAAATCCTTCTTTCATCCATTTCTAGGTTGGGTTCTTAAACAACCTCACTTAGCTTCAGTACATTGCTTTGTGCATTTCTACTGAGTTGTCATTTCAACCTCCCCCCCCCCTCTCCCGGGCTTTCGTTCTATCATTTCATATTAAATGTCGTTTTGAATGTTTACTTTCGTTCTACGTATATTGTTTTGTGCTATAATAATTAGTATAGCATCCGGCCTTTATGAAAAAATTCAATTCTCACTGAGTCGCTATCTGGGTCTGTTCGTGACAGATAAAATTAATCGCCGTCTGTAGAGTTTCCTTCAAAGAACAGGCGTTTACTGCAGTTGTTCATCCACTCTTATCTATTGTCAAATATACATGTCGTGTTGTAGTTGAACGATCAGGGGGGAAATAAGAGTCCAGTACTTTTCTAATGGGACCAATAACTGAACCCGTAAATTTCCAACAAATGCCCAAGCCATATCGCTTGGCTACGATGCCTTACACGCAGCCAAACCGTGATACAGAACTCCTGTCCACCAAAACTTAAGAAACTTGTTTCCTTCACTAAATTTCTAGGCTCTGTCATCGTCTTGGACGCCTCCTCTGACGTCATAGAAAAGAACCTGACTCGAACTGCAACCCTGCGCTGTAGCTTGGATGACACCACCTCATCACTGACTGCGCCTGTGGTGGGTCGTCGTGACATCACACAGACGGCTACCAATGTAGAGTACGTCACTTCAATTATAGTGACCCGGGACACAGGTGAAATTGTCGCCAGAGTAACCGAGCATGAAACTGCCGAGGCGTTGGTAGATCAGGCCAGTCTGCGGGTGTTCGGTAACCTCTCGGTGACCTCAGGACGTCGCGGGTGAGACTCCTCCACGTTTTGCTGTTTTTTTCCATTCTTATCTTTAATATGATCGGGGTGCGCTACTAAAGAAAAGACATTTGGGGAACGGGGATTCGGAGGCTGATAAACTTGAACCCTGTGTTCCCAGAACGTTGTTATTCTATTGTCAGTACGGGTGTACTACTGGGGTACACCAGGCAGTTAGAATTAATTAATTGTGGTGTACTTGTGGTTGCTAAATCTTGAACCCATTCTCGGTCGCACCACAGATACAAAGTCTTCCCTGAGGAGGAGATATATTTTTATTACCCTACCACTCTGATACTGCCTTGACCATCTTCTTATTTCTTTGTCTCTTTTTTCACGTGATATCTTCCTCTTCAAAGAGGGCTTCTTAGTCCACATGTGACAACCTGCTTGCCTCTTTTACAAGCCTGTCCCCCATATTATTATGCCATCTACAATGGGATGTGAGGATCTCCTCTGGGTAGTTATTTTCAAGTGTATTATATCCACTGGGTTAAAACGGCAGCGCTTAGGCCGTGGGCTTTTTTGTTTCGAGAATTGCTTAGACCCGGGAGTACAAAGAGCCCTTAATGAGAGTCACGTAATTTCAGGGCTGAGTTCGCTCCCTCAGACCCCTGAAAAACCTGCTTACGGGGAACGTCTTCTAGTTCTAGACGCATTATGAGATCTTTGAAATAACTTAAGCGTTGAAAAACAACTTTGAACCCCGTTTTCGTTTTGTCTGTATCTGAGCTTTCGCCTCTCATTTAAGTTTCAGCTCAGTAAAGAATTCCTCCATCGTGTTTATTCTCACAGTTTCTTACTTTCGTGTTTGATTGTAGACGACGGTTGATGCTTTTGACCCACATCACGACTCTTTAGGAATTGCCTGTCAGGGGCATCCCGAACTGTATGGAATACTACGTCTTGGTAGAAAGACCGAGATACAAAAGTACAGATTATCTTCTCCTCTTAAAAATCGAAATCCTTTTTCCTGCAGGTGTAATGTACATGTATACCAAAACGCGTTCTTATATCAATCCACATCTTTGCTGTTCTGAATAAAATGTTTCATTTTATTTTATGCCGAAGCAAGAACTGAACTGACTCTGTGTGTCCTGGCAGGTACATGGAACTGACCTGGAAGTTCCCGACCCAGAGACAGGCCGGTGACTACAAGTGTGAAGTGAACGCCATTGACGATAACGGCCATTTTGTCACGTTTTCAACTTCGCTAAAAGTCAACGTCACCACACCATCGGTGGAAGATGTGGTGAGCTCAATGCTGACACTCACGACATTTTAGTTACAATGCTAGTAATCCTACTGTAATACTAAAATCGGATGGACCACAGCGCTCAAACACAGTCACATATTTTCCATTCTTACTTGGGTCGTACGTCCATTCTCCTCACAGTCACAGGTTGCGTGAAAGAATTGTGAAGCGTGCTGACAAAATTAATTACTTCTTAGATTCAAGCCTGATGGAAATAGATACATCACGCTTATGCGTGAATTATTTCGTTAAATGTTTCGAATGAGCCTCAGTTCGGATTTTACTCTCTGACATTCATCATCTGGTGATACTTTTCGCTGACAAATAAATATTCGGTGACTCTCTAGCATAATCAAACTCAGACGAAATGTGAATACACTATAGCTGGTACCTGGTCTCCATGTTGTTACATTAGTTTATGAGGAAATCAGTCGGCACAAATGAGAGGCATTCTTTCCTACTATTGGTCCGAATTTTTAGCTGTGATAATTCAGTTTGAGATCCAATGTTTCATTCACTTGCATAATGAAACCAAAAAAATATCTCAAAGACATTACTTTTTGAAACCAAGTCATTCCTACAGAAGATGATTGTCCCAAGCCTGCATAAACCCAGAGTGGAAATGTAAACTACAATTAATTACGAAATAAAACTACACTTTTAATGCCACCAATGACATTCTCGGGCCTGTATAAAAAGATTCTTGCCGCAAGTTATCAGACCACTCCGGCGAGTAGACAAGAAAGGGGGCTCTCGTGGCCAAGAGGTTAACGTGTTCGCCTCTCATTCAAAGGTCCCGAGTTCGAATCCGGAAATTTTTTTTCCACTAAAATTGTCTCCTTTCACCTCCTGTTCCTCTTTCAAGCAATGTTCTATCGTCTACTTTCATCTCCACTTTCTGCCCCCTCCCTCCTTTGCCCCATCCTCTGGGCTCCTGACTCTTTCTGCAGCCTTTTTTCTGCTACTCCATGGCTCTTTCTTACTGCTGTCTTTTAGCCACGCCCCTGATCTTCTGTTAGGAAAGATCTACACCAAGCCTTCTCGGAAAAGGATAAAAAATCTCGGAGGTCCCGTGTGCAAGTTGCGCACGTTAAAGATCCCTTGGTGATCTAAACTCGATAAGAGTACGCTTCGCCGCCACCTGGGCAAAATTCAAAATTTCCTACCAACTGAAAATGTTTGGTGAGTCCCGCGCGCTCATATGACCTTATGCAGTTGTGGGCGCCGTAAAACACTTTTTAAAAAAAGAAACATCATGGTAAACCTTCAGCTAAACCAGTTGTCAGACCGGTCCGGCGATAGACTAAATCAGAAACATCGCGGTAGACCGGCAACTAAACCGACACCCAACAATAATTGAGCATGCCGCGGAACTAACGCCTGGTGTCAACTTTGTATTCCTATGTGCCATATATAAAATTGATGTAACCTTGACTCGTATAGTTCCACAGTTTTATGCCCTTTGTGAGATTCTACTTGAGGGTGGGATGTTTTCTGTGAAGTAACACCGTAGAAAGAAAAATAAGCACGCCAAGTATACACCTGTTTTGTTGAAATGTGCTGTTAGGCTCATTGATTCAATGTCTTATTTCTTGAAATAAGATAATACAAATGATGAAAGTTTAAATAATTTTGCTCATTATCCCTCAGAAATTATTTTTTTCAACTTGAAGGAAGTATCGCCTCAGAAGGATAGCAATTCTGATTTACAAACACAAGAAAAGAAAAGAAACAACCTCAAACAATTCACTTGTGCACACCACAATTCCATTCATCTTGAAATTTAATCAAGAATAAAAATGGACCAGGTTTGGCACATGGTGAAAACAATTTAGGCAAAATTATTTCTCTGTATGAAAACAGGTAGACCAGCTGCACGTCACAAGTAACACGGTCGACCGGCTGGCAAACGAGGTAGCCGAAATGAAGTCCCTTTTGGCAAACTTCTCTGGAGTACAACACGTAGAAGCCGGGACTCTCAAGTGTGGTTACCCACGTTACGAGTACTATGTTGACGACCAGATCCTGACGCAGAAGTTCCGGAGTCCTTACGACAAACCTCCAGTGGTCACCTTGGGGGTGACCGTTGTCGATTTCGGAGATATTTATGAAGATGCCCAGTTTGATGTTTCTCTTGTGAGCGTGGATGAACAAAGTTTTACTATACAATGCGAGAAAGGTCGAGGCTACAATGCCTATAATATGACTGTTAGTTGGATGAGTGTTTAAAATAGTGCCAACCATGGACAATGGAATACAGAAATAAACTTTGCAGTGACCTCTCACCCTTTCACTTACGCATCAGACAGGACAGATGTTTTTTTTAAAAGTATTTACTCAGTTTGCTCCCGTTCAGCTCATTAGTACGACGATTTGACAGATTGTAGGAGGTGCTCATTGGCAGGATCGGTTCGGTTCCGTTCGCTTCGGTTCGGTGGTTCGAAATTAGTCGGAGCTAGTCAGATTTTCTTCATGGAGAGGCAAAATCTGCAATCGTGGCACAATTCGAACGAATGCGATGGTGACTTTCAAAAACAAACACGCTTGTTTTCAAGGCCATGAGTCGAACCTGCCCGAAACGAAATGAAATGAACCGAACCGAACCTATCCTGCCGATGGGCACCGCCTATTAGGGAAGCAACAGGGCAGACATGAACTGTTTAACCATGTTAATGATGCTAGAACCTTACTTTTTGAGACAGTGAGATGTAAAAATCTATTTTATATTAGTGCTGAAATTAAGAAGTGTCAAAGAAAAGGATAAGAAACCCTGTGGGATACGTAAAATACAGATAGAGAGAGAGGAGGAAAGAGAGACAAAGAAAGAGAGTGAGAGAGAGAGAGAGAGAGAGAGAGAGAGAGAGGGAGAGGGAGAGATAGAGAGAGAGAGAGAGAGAGAGAGAGAGAGAGAGAGAGAGAGAGAGAGAGAGTGCGTGTATGCACTGGTGCGTGCGTTCATAAGTGCGAGCTCCATTTTTTGTACTCGGAATTTGAAGGGCTATCATTGACGATATGACTTTATCGTATGACTTTATCGTATCGCTCAGTGTGTGTGTGCCACCTTGCGTTCAGTCAACAGCGCTGTGGATAAGCCTAGTTCATGAATATTAAATTGTGAAAGCTGCTGATGGTTTTTATTTTTTCGGGTTGGTGAATGAAAGTGTGAAAAAGTTCAATTCTACTATTTCTGTGGAACACACCTGGTTAAAAAAAAATTCCTCAGCTTATGCAGTATTTTTAACTTGACTTGTTGAACTGTCCCAAAATGAGGGGGTTGGGGGATGTATTCATGAACTATGTACGTTTAAAACTTTGCTTCATACGGGTGCATTAAATTTAAAGAGACGGGCAAAAAAAATAATTTTACCACGGCTACAAAACGATGTAAAACTAATCTTTTTATTCTGGTCGAAATCTTACTTCTACTTCCGCGTGGTAAGCAGAGGACAACAAATACTCAGCAAGACTTCAGAATCGTAAATTATATCTGGCTCAAAAGATTGCATTTATTCGCAACAGAAGCGGCAAAGTGAAAAATCAGTTTCAAAATTAAAGCAAGAATTCGGTGAACCCTTCTGGTCCAAAAGGCACCTTATGTTTTATTAGTCCAAATGGAACCTTGCAGTCACCGATCGAAAGGAACGCTCCCATTATTCTTCTCACGTAAGAATTGAGTTGGTTTTAAAAAAGCATGAGTTATAGTGACTTCACTCTTCGTAGCGTCGGTGAAGTTTCATTTCCTCGAAAATGCACAGCACTAGAAAACAGATGGGGGTCTTCAGTTTGCTCATTGTATAGATTTATATGCCTTTCTTTTTTCAATGCAACAAGAGCAGACCCTTAACATTTTTCATAATAAACACTTTTGAAGTTGCTTGAATTTCAGTAGGATATGTCACTTAAGCGCGAAAAAGTACCTTGAATAACATCCCTCTAATCCAGGGGCGGTTTGTTAACTGGGCAAGACCGGCGGTGCGGTCAAATTTTTGTCAGCCGGACTGTTGACAAGAGATGTATTGCTGATGATGCTTTTCATTCAGTTTTAAGTAAATACGAATAAACATGTATCAACATTCAAAAAGCACCTTGCCGATTTGAATGCGTTCAAATAGACAAGTGTGATTCACTGCTGTTTTGTCGCGACTGAGCCTCATTCCTTCAACTTTGTTTATCGCACCAGCTGGTAACGTTAAATCGTCTCCGGTCAAGCCGTCACGTCGCGGAACTTCGTACGAGGACAAACGAACACGGCAGGTACAGCGATGACGTCAGTCCGCTGGGCAAATCCATCGACTGCCCTAAGAGCGAATATAGCATCCCTTGCTTGCCACATTGGCCTCCGTGTTGCTTACAAAATCAGTAATGAGACTGTCTTGAGTCTTGAGCAGTACAGCATATGAAATATTTTATCCGCAATACATGTACTTATCATTCAGCCTTTCTCTACCTATCATCAGAACATTTATTGTCAGCACGGCACTAATCTTTTTTGTTTATTGAATTTATAGCCACTTATAGTTCCTGTTTGGTGACTATTCATCGCTTTCTCCCCACTAATAACGTACCTGGCCCATATGATTCTAGCCGGCGAAAAGAGGAATCGTCTAGTGAAGATATATAAGGAGAATTATAACAAGGAGCGATAGACTCTCGGCTGTCAGAGTCTGGGCCGAAAACAATGGACCTACCCCCTCCCTTCCCTCACCTTATCCACTGTCACCCCGGCTAGACACCAAGTTCTATAATTAGCATTTGACACACTTCCCCATTTTGTTACAACAGTGTTCTGAGAACTGAGAAGTGTGATGAAGAACGTTTGATTACATAATGATGGAAAACTGTTGTGTGCTAACTTTGTCCAACTTTGTATAGTATCTGATTGTTGACTTAATCTGCATGGGACAGCGTCATTGGTACATTATGAATTGACTTTTTGCCATCATACAGTACTGTTCTTATTACATATTTACAGGTCGAGTGCTCGTCGATATTATGTGAGGGTGTGTAGAAAGCAGGGGCAGCTCGTGGGGCTAAAAAGTGGGCGTGCACAATTATTAATTAAGCTATCACAAGCTGAAGATAGCCAATGGCATAGTAAATGGGATGGTGCATATTTTTAGGATCTTTGGGTTTGTCAGGGAGGACCTCGTGCTTTTATTTTCATTCCTCTTACTTGTCGCTTTGATTTCTAGAACTAAAACTGTTTTGTTAGCTAAACATCAATTTCGTTCATCCTGCATTAGAACTGAACACTCAAGTACCCGGTAATAACTTTCTCCACTTCACAACAAAACAATTCAAAGACACAACTCATAGGACGGTGACTTAAGTATGTCACTTTCGCCTCTCTCAGGTTCACGGCCACAGAACCACAGAGACACTTAAAATCATGGAGTTACCCCCTTTTAAACTCTATGCTTAAAATAGCCTAGTGGCAAGAAAATGAACCAATCAGAATTCCCTTGAGCACTCTGCTGGATTGCTCCGGGACTCACATAATTTTGGCAATAAATAGTGTACAGTCTATGGCGTTTATTTTTAGACTGCCTATTGTGGGCTATGTTTCGGATAATCTCTATTCGGCTGAAGTACATTTGAGATGTGCCGACTTATTAATATTAATGTACCTCCAAACTCGCTACGAGTGTCGTCATTGCTTGGGCTGTCCCAAAGAGCTATTTATCAGTCAGGTTATCATTGTTGAATCTCCTATTAAAAAACGCGTTGGCTTTGTTTTACCGCGCTATAGACACAGAAATGACAGTTACGGCGCCAGCAAGGACCTTGTTTTGATATAATATTTGTTTCTGGCGTCTTTTATGTTATCATTGTGGGGGCTTTACGTAAAAGAACAATAAAACAAATTTGGGCGGCACTGCACGACCGTGCTCAATGGACGAACCGCGTCTGGTAGAAAGTAAAAGTCTTTGGTTAAAGTACCGGACGCCATGACCAGCAGTGTGTTGCGCTTCTCACTATCAGTGTGTTTTCTAGCATAGACTTCAGAAGTGTATCTTTTTCTATGCGATTCAAGTCAGTTTCTATTAATTAACTCAATAACTCCCATCATACATTAATCATAATATTGTTTCTTGACACTACCATATTTCAGCTCTTTCACATTATATTAAAATGTTTACAAGTGGTGTGTGTGTGAGTGGGGGAAGGGGTGGGGATGGCGGCGAAAGTAGGGGTATAAAATGAGGAGAGAGAGAGAGAGAGAGAGAGAGAGAGAGAGAGAGAGAGAGAGAGAGAGAGAGAGAGAGAGAGAGAGATGGTGTTTGTATGTGTGTTTGTGTGTGTGTGTGTGTGTGTGTGTGTGTGTGTGTGTGTGTGTGTGTGTGTGTGTGTGTGTGTGTGTGTGTGCGTGTGTGTGTGTGTGTGTGTGTGTGTGTGTGTGTGTGTGTGTGTGTTCACGTCCGCTCGCGTACAGAAGATTTAGTACCCAAGAGAACGAAATTCGATATCAAATTATTATAAAACACCCAACTTCGGATAATTCAATAACACAGGCCAACGATGAAAAAGGCTTAGCAACGAAAGTTACCAAAATTTTTTAATTGATGTGCTGATTCTAATTATGTTATCAGTTTTCGACTCTCAGATCAGGTTTTTACAGAACCCACATATTTATAATATTATTTTAGATATTCTTATTACGTTTCTGGGAGTGCGAGTTACACTCTTTATTATTAAACAAGGGAAAAGTCTTTTAGTATTTCCACAAAGATAATTAATAAAGTGTCTTACTTCTGAATAATGTCCTATATCGCATTTTCTCACGACATAATGTTTTAAAGTTTAAACTCCTTTTATTTCTTTAGTTTATTATATAATTGCTCTAAAATGTTGTAAGCTAAAATTCAAAATGCAATGCAAAAAAATCTAACATTATTTTATTAAATTAAATGTGTTAAAAATGTGAGGCAGCGTGGTGGAATCAGGCTCTCGTCAATTTTTGGGTATGTAGAGTTATCATCTTGTTCATTTGTCGTTATATGGATGAAAAAAATATCCATTTATCTTAAATACAAGTCAAGATATTTGCGAAAGAAGGAGGTGGGGGTCACCTGTTTTCAGAGGTAAAATCAGTGAGAAAATGGCCGCCAAAGATTAGTTTTTCCTTAGTTTAAGAGTCCGTGGTAACTGAAAATTTTCATTTTTTGTGCCTTTAATTAACGTTTTTCAGAAAAATCCACACCGAAATTAGTTCTTTATTGGGCATAAAAGGTGTTGAGCCAAAAAAACAAACATTTTATAAAAATTCACAAACCTGCGGAAAAATGCAAGTTTCGTCACTTTGATTATTTTGACGAGAGCCTGATTCCACCACGCTGCTTCACAAATGTACCTAAAAAAACAACAGATAATTTTTGTCTCGAGAATTTATTCTTGAATTTAGTGTCCAGACAGAAAAGCAATTACCAAGTCGTATCAGTGGTGCAATTAAGTTGAAAGGGGACACGTTTTTATTTGGACCTGTTATTAAAAGAGCTGCGTGTGACAACACATTTGAACGAACAGATGATGATTCCACTTCAGGAAAAGACTCGGTCAGCTTCTACAGACCTGCGTTTAAAGTTTCTTGAGTCACAAGAGTGAAAACCACAAGGCCTGAAAATAAAGTGAATGAACTGACAGCATTATTATGAATTCTTCGGAGCAAGGATGTCAAGGAAAATTAATTTCCTTCACAGCCGTATTAACCTATAGGTGAACAACGTGAAAGACTCCATCAGGATATCATGCATGAAAAAAAACCTCAAGAGAAGTGGGACTCTCTCAGGATGGCAGATTTCTGTTTGATGTATCGTAAAAACATCGGTTGAAATA